TGCAGTTGACACAACTCTTATACGATTTTATTTAGTGTGGAAGTCCTTATAAATAGACTGTTAGGTATATTTAATTGATTGACGAAAACAAACCAATCATCTGACGCGATTTCTCGTTTTTATTGCCAGCGAAATTCAGCTCACAGCAGTTTTCTCCTAATACATGACAAATTTTAAATCTTTTTTTTTAACACGTTGCCTGCTTTCTGATCACCTTTCTGTTACTAAACGTCTGGATTGTCTAGCTTTGTCTTCTTTTGTTTATTAATGTACATGTTTTAGTCTCTTAGAAATAAATTAATTCTCAGTGTCGTTCAGATTCGTATCTCCCAGAGTCTACTAGATATTTCGGCGCCTTAGTAAGGAAGATAGAATAGATAAATTGACATAATTACTTCAGGGCGCCGCGTAGGGCACCGGTGATCTACATGGCGGTCAACGTGTTAACCTCACATTGAAGCTCATTTCTACATAATATATAGATTATCAAACCCGATAAGTTATGATTAATGAACAATGCGTCAGAAACTAGGTCAATAGGATTCAAAAGAAATTATGTATGTAACTATTTAATCCTATTATGTAAATAAATGCAACCAATCTGTACTTAGTCGTTTCGACATAATATTAACTGACTATCTTTTAACATGAGCTCTCTCGCGCTATTGTCGAAAAAACCTTTTAGAAATCAGTACCTTTTTTGTGGATGAAAGTTTCCCCATGTCTTTTTGGTATCCCTGTGAAGGAACAAGGTGTAGATGAACGCAGTGGTTCTAGTATGGACAGTTTGGATGAACTCGGCTCTTGTGGTGGACGGTGCGATTGTAAAAAGCATATCAAGGGATCATCTCGAATATTTACTCAGAGCGCAACGCATGCGATATCTATGTATTGCATGTGTTACAAAAACATAAATAGCTGTAACCCCTCCGTGGACTAATAAATTCCAAACGATTATAAATACATGAGTACTATTATATATCTAAAATATTGTTATCATAGGACTGTCAGTTTTCTATTCCAATGCAGACAATTAAACTTAAAGAATTGTGAACTGCTTCAACTACAACAACTAGTCCGCAATGATATTTTAAGTCTCGTACTACAGAACCGCGAATAATATGCGTCCAATTAGTTACATAGTTACGCAACAGTTATAATGATATATCGCACCGACCGATTGACATTTGCTGTGGCCTCCAATCCACAAAAATACGTTGCGACAGTATAGAATGATCTTGTCGCTGTTGATGATTCCAATCTGCAAGTCACCGGAGGCTTGTTTGCGAAAATAGCCATTAAACGCAATAAAATTTCGGTGATTTTAGACGTAGCCGTTGAAGACTATTTTCGAATTCATGTCTTAAACACAAGTTTTCATCTGTATATATACAAAAATGGACTGCTGTTCGTTAGTCTCGCTAAAACTCGAGAACGGCTGGACCGATTTGGCTGATTTTGGTCTTGAATTATTATATTTGTGGAAGTCCAGAAAAGGTTTAAAAGGTAAATAAATATGAAAATGCTCGGAATGAAATGAAAATAACAATTTAATTACAATTTTCCCTTTGTTGTGTCCCCCGTCGGACGGATTCCTTTTACGTCTTTTATTGTCGTCGTCGTGGCCTAAAGGATAAGACATCCGGTGCATTCGTATCTAGCGATGCACCGGTGTTCGAATCCCGCAGGCGGGTACCAATTTTTCTAATGAAATACGTACTTAACAAAATGTTCACGATTGACTTCCACGGTGAAGGAATAACATCGTGTAATAAAAATCAAAACCCGCAAAATTATAATTTGCGTAATTACTGGTGGTAGGACCTCTTGTGAGTCCGCATGGGTAGGTACCACCGCCCCGCCTATTTCTGCCGTGAAGCAATAATGCGTTTCGGTTTGAAGGGTGGGGCTGCCGTTGTAACTATACTGAGATCTTAGAACTTATATCTCAAGGTGTGTGGCGCATTTACGCTGTAGATGTCTATGGGCTCCAGTAACCACTTAACACCAGGTGGGCTGTGAGATCGTCCACACACCTAAGCAATAAAAATAAAAAAAATCGATTAAGGCACTACGAAGTCTGCCGGGTCAGCTAGTGACTGATAAATGACAGCTAATTACATATCAAGAGGTATACGTATAATTTAAATAGGTATATAAATAGGTATAGTAATATAGGGTTCCAATCCATCATTCTCCGAACCGAAAATAACGTCTAGTGCCGATCATTCCGTATCTCTTGCCGTCATCTTTTGCCGAACTGATAGTCGTTATTGCTCTTCAATATCATCAGCGCTAGAGGCACAGCTGAGTTGCTTTTTTTCTGTACAATGAAAATTCAAGAGTAAGGAACACGCATGGTAGCTATTGATTCCTCGTTTGATTGCTAGTTCACGAAATTAGAAATAACTAGCTATACCTGTCCGCTTCGCTGGGCATTTAAAATTAACATTATTATTCTTCACCCCCACAAAGATTCTCATCATTAATGCCCCCGCAACTGGTTTAGAGAGTCCAACACTCATATAAATCCATTAAGTACATGTATTTTCTACATGGATACCAAGTTTCAAATCAATCGGATGCCTGGTTCAGTAATTATAACGGAACATCCGTAAAAACCACTGTAGATTAGTATAGATTAATCGACAAGAGGATTAGTGAGTGGGTGGTTTATATTTCCAACCTACTATTGCCTAATAATTTATATTCGTTTCGCCATTCTGGCCATCTGATCATATAGTAAGTACAACCCAACTTGTATTAGTAGTTGAAGCAGTTTTTGGATTTCCATGAAATCTTAAAATACAAAAAAACATTACGAAAACATTTAGTAAAATTTATTTTTGTCAGTTTTGTCAATTATACTTTGTTGACATTAAAATATTATAAATATCGTAAGAAAACTCCGTAAGATAACTTTTTAAATCAAGCCCGATAGTTGGGATTGGTTCAATGCCAATATTCACGGTGATATATTAATATTAAATAACATCCAGAGGTTACACTATTGAAAAGATTACGTTTTAAATTTGCATATTTTTGTGAACTATTTTGTTTGATGTAGTTTTTTTATTACTTAGATGAATTCAGGTGGTTACGATCCATCCACGTATTAAATTGTCAGAGGAGCCCACAGATCTCTCTACGGGTGTGCCGCCAACTGTTTTGAGACATGTAGTCTACGGCTCAATTGTAAGTACACAGGTTGTCTCAACCTTCAAATCTAAAAACATGACGTTTTCGCGGCAGAAACAGTCAATATAATTTGGTCTCTACTCGTCCAGTATTAAAATACTCCCTATCACAACTAACTATATACCTTCTATTTTTAAAATTTGCATGTTTGTTTTTTATTGCATAATGCTACTCCTTTATTTTGGAAATCGTGTACTTAAATACTAATAATAATTTATTATTTCACAGTTATTATCTTACAATCGTCGAAGTCGTGCCAAAGTCCAATTTTAAATTGTTAATATAGCTATTTGCCATGTTTTATATATTACATATAGCTACGATGCCAAAATGGAATACTGCAAACCTACTCTCGAATTTAAGTGTAGACATAGCCTAACACGGAAGCTGATCAGATGTTTGTTCGCCATTACTATTTTATGCCTTCCGGTTCCGTTAAGTAATTTTCTTGTTTGTATCAAACAAATCCACGGAAAGTTTTCAAGTTTTTAATAGAAAAAATTAACGAGTGATTGTTTAAATGAAAATCCATTTTTAATATTTTCTTGCTGGTCATTCAAAGTCCCCTATCTTTTTTTATGTACTATTAATGTTTTTATGTACTATGGAGTACACTCAAATTCTTCCAAAACTCTGACCAAAAATGCCGACTTTTACCGGGAGCTCAATAAAAGCCAGTAGTAACAAGCCAAAGTCACTAAGTTTATACCTATATATAGGGAGAGAGGTTGAGAGGGAAAAAAAAAATTCAGCAGTATATGAATATGTGTTCGGCTGAATGGTACTAATTCATTTATTACTATCATCCATTATTCATCCATTTATTCATTGAAATCAATTTATTACTTCAATCTATACGATTTGAAGATACCAGCGCTATGCAATCGCCAATGCAGACCGGTAGTAGCACGCATTGTGATCCCCGCACGACTAGATACGATCTTCCTGCCTATTATGCCGTGAAACAGTCATGCCTTATCGTTCAAAGAAAGGACCAGCCACTATACAGTGTAATGGACCCTTCGTTCTATGTTTCCAGCAGACTGGTGGCGTTCACGTTGTTCTATCTGTGAGCTTCAGTTAACACTTAAATTTTTGTAGGCCGTCAGCACCCACCGAGACTATTATTAAAAATATATATAATAACAAAACTAATTAGTCTCCTAAAATGCTTAGTATTTACAACATGATTCACTTCCTCAATTCACTTTTATAACTTCAACAATGAACTTATAATAAAACTGCTATATTTAAAAATCATTAACTAACATTATTATCTAATTGGAAATTCATTTTAGAATTAATAGATTTTAATATTTTAGTTTGTTGCTATAGAGGAAAAAACCTCTGAATCTTGATTAATTAGCACGAAGTTATTATTTATTGATAACGCTGTTTGAATATACTAAAAGCTCTTAAAATAACTTAATAGAAATATTAGCCAAAAAATCGCATGGAGTCCTTTAGTTTGTCGACAAATTGTACTAACTAATTGTTTGTAAAAGTGGATTTTAATGGCTAAAATGGAAGCCTTCACCATAAAATATCTTGCACAACAGTTGTCCACCATTGAAATTGGAACGCAAGTCGGCTTCGCCGCAAAAACAGGCACGGAAGTGAAAGGTTAGTGCAGACATTAACATGTGTATGGCGTCTATCAAATTTCGCTCATATTTAGTATCAATAATCTCCGTATAAAATGGAACGGGTGTATGTAAGTACAAACAGGCGCATTGAATGAAGCTGTAAGGGTTCCGTGTTAACAATATTAATTTAATAACATTGACTAATGTACGCTTTGTTTGTAATTTGGTTACCGTCCAGTGTTGTGATCAAAAACATTTTTGCGCTTGAAAATTTTGAAATTTTTGACATTTCACCAACTGTCACTTCTAGGCGGAGGCGGTGGTCTGAAATTTAACAGGTTCAACATTAAACAACATAAATTTAAATCACACTTTAATTGATACCCTTTCTTACTGTTTAGAAGTCGTCGTGGCCTAAAGGATAAGTCACCCGACGCATTCGTATTTAGCGATGCGACTGTGTCGATGTTCGAATGCCGTAAGCAGGTACCAATTTTTCGAATGAAATACGTACTTGACAAGTGTTCATGATTGATTTCCATGGCGAAAGAATAACATCTTATAATAATAAAACAGACCACCAAAAGCTATAATTTGTGTAATTACTGGTGGTAGGACATATTGTGTGCGCTCACGGATAGGTACCACCACCTTGTCTACTACTGCCGTGCAGCAGTAATGCGTTCCTATTTAATGATTGGGGCAGCTGTTGTGCTGCAAAATCTAAGATTTTGAACTCATGTCTCAAGGTCTCACTTAGGCTTCACCATGACCGGTGGGCACATGAGCCCTTAATAAATTAACTAAAATATGCTCTAGCAAGAACAGTGCTTCGCTTAATCTATATCGGTCGAAATCGCAGCCCACTAAGAAGATCCCGCGAGAAAGTCAGTGGGTTATGCTCTCAAGAAGATTGGAATATGGATTTATCATTTTTTCTTTGTCGTATCACTCTTGTCAAGGCGGTCGTGGTCATCAATCAGTATTTAAATATTTTAAATAAATATTTACTAACAATCACGCCACGTTAACTGGTCCCGTGCTAAGTTCGTAAAGAACTTGTGTTACAAGTACCAGATAACGGAAATAAATATAATATTTTTATTATACACATACATATATTTAATATACACCCATAACCCTGGAAAGACATTTATATTTATCATACAAATATCTTCCCTTGGCGGGATTCGAACCCNTTCGTAAAGAACTTGTGTTACAAGTACCAGATAACGGAAATAAATATAATATTTTTATTATACACATACATATATTTAATATACACCCATAACCCTGGAAAGACATTTATATTTATCATACAAATATCTTCCCTTGGCGGGATTCGAACCCGCGACCCCCTTGTGTAGTGACCATGTCACTTACCACTACACCAGACGGCCGTTAAATCAGTATCATTGTTTTGGGCAGATGTTATGTGCCTCACGAGAAATCGCCACTTCTCCCGGTCTCTGGTGAGCCAGGAACACTCATACAACCGCCAACTGTTGACTTGACTTGGTCGATCCATCGCATGGGATGAAGATGTGATGTAACCATAGGCATATGTATATAATAATTACGGGCTCATACACATTTTCTATACAAGAACTACATACCCGGGTGTATTCCAATTGCTTCCATCACACAGAGCCGTTGTAGGCGTTTCTTGTTGCCTGGAAAACAATTTTGTTCGTATGGTCATTCCGCAGAATTAAAATGTCTCTTGCGTTTTCACAGTGATTGGATCGAAAATGAATAAGAGCAACAATTTTTTTAAATTACTCTTAGAGTAAGCTTATTGACGGCTATCTCTATATTAACATTGGCCAATAAAATCTTATTATATTTACCCCAAACTAGTGAGAATAATTGTTTCGTGAGTTCTTATTTTCCGACTATAAAATCTCCAAAGTTTGACGCATAATGGTGTTACTGCAATACACCATATGAGTCCTAGTAGGAAACCGCAGACCCACCAAGCGTGCTGGAAACATTAAATAAAGTTTTTCTTTTATTGTGCAAGTTTAGAGTAGAGCACAATACACTTTGTTAAGTAATAAATTACAAATAAACTCTTCGTAGATATAAAATAGTTTAATCTTCCTCTTTATATTATTTTGGAGTAAGATATTTACTATTTTGTTTTTAATTTGGTGTAAAATTTACGAATAGATTGGGTGTTGTGTTATTGTAAATAACGTAACTTGAATAGCGTAATAAATTCGATCTTAAATGCTCTGCTTGGTTAAAGAAAACGAAACCCATTTAAAATCCTGACCATATGTTGTTCTGATTGTCACTTATTAAATTATTATGTAACACACACATAATTTCTTGACACTACATTCGGGTCACATAGTCTAGGCTTAAACATTACGCAAAACGCATAGGACAAGAAAAGCAAATGTTACAATTTTTAATACGCTTTTCTTAGCTTCATATGACGTATGTTAGTATGTAACGGAATCTTTGAATATGATTTTGACCTCCGTTCAAAACGTCGGATTAACTCGAAATTTGGTATAATTATTCAGGACCGATGAAAATTCAATATTTTAAGCAGTTTGATCCGTTATCTTTACTAGGATAATCAGGATTAGCGATTTTTTGTTTTCCTTGGACCCGGAGTGTCTGCGTCAAGAAGGGAAACTACCAGGCGCACCGATCAACTATTTCTCGGATAAGTTACCAACTGATTCAGATGAAGCTTTTGAAAAATTGAAAAAATTTATTGAAAAACATTTAAATTCAACTAAAAAATGAAAAATAAATATAGTTTAAAAAACTAAAAATATACGTTTTTATAAAAAAAACGACTAATATCACATCTGTTCATAAAATATTTATAACTATTGATACCACCACCCCACGATTTTTTTTACAATAAAATCCTTTTTTTTACACTATTTTTAATTCAAATGTATTAAAATTTATTGTCTATTTTTTAGTCGGATTTTTTATAAAAGCGTATTTTTTTAGTTTTTTAAACTATTATTTATTCATATTCAAAGAATGATAACATTAGTGATATTATAATATACGTTAAGAAAGTGTTCTTTACGTGATTGTTTTCGTGTTTGCGCTCCTAGTAAAGGAGTTGGGGTGGAATTTTCGTAGCTACCTAATTATATTGATTTCTGTTTAGAATTAGATAACTAAATTACAATTAAATAGATTTCAAACGTCGTTTCTTTGTTTTTACATAGGAGTTTTTTGTGTAGAAAAATAAAATAAAATATTGATTTATCTTGAATATGTTTAACTAGCGACCCGCCCTCGCTTCGCTTCGGAAACTGTAATTTATTATTGATTTCTACACTATTTAATGGATGTTGTTATACACATAAACCTTTCTCTTCAATCACTCTATCTATTAAAAAACCCGCATCAAAATCTGTTGCGTAGTTTTAAAGATTTTAGTATACATAGGGATATAGGGACAGGAAAAGCGACTTGTTTTATACTATGTAGAGAAGATTACCAACGATGCGACATAATGGCTGCATATTAGTGATCTAAGTGCGGAGTAAACTGTGAACAGCGGTCGACATTTAGCCGCGTGTTTCCCGGTGGACATGAGCACGTGTGTGCGCCAGCCGGCAGCGTGCGAGATGAGACGGGACACGAATGTGGAGACTTTCTGAGAAACAAAAATCATTAAAAGAACCGTTAAGTTGCAAAATTTCTAGAAGTTTCGAAAATCGAAAACAAAACCATAACAACATGGTTAATCTTTGCCCCAGCCTCAGATTGCGTACCCAACACAATTGTTATTCCTCCTTCTTGAGGTATGAGGTTAGTCTCTATTGTATGATGTACCATTTTCTGTTCAATATTTCCAACTAACTCATAGTAATTACGCAAATACGGTAGGCAGCTGTTTGGCTCTGCCCCTAGCATTGCTGATATCCATGGGCGACGCGAACCGCTCAGTATCAGGTGAGTAGTATGCTAGTTTGCCTACAAAGGTAATAAAAAAATCCTTATCCACTTGTTCCTGTAGTATCCATAAGAAGCCTTACCTTTTGGGCTATAACATCTCCTTGATTGTCAATATAATATTGGGCTGTATGTATATGACTAAGAGAAATATTTAGTTTTTTTCTAAATGGTTTCAGCTGTAATTCGAGCTCAGTTAGTTTGAATACTATGTCTGCTCTCATTTCTTCTAAAGGCTTTATATTATTTATGTACAATCGTTGTGTTCTTGTTGCTAAAAACAAAAGGTTAGACTTTAACATAATATGATCTAAACTAGTAACAAAGTTATTAATTTGCATTGAATTGGCAATGAAGTCGTCGTGGCCTAAAGGATAAAACTTCCGGTGCATTCGTGTTGATGTAACGGTGTTCGAATCCCGCTGGCAAGTACCAATTTTTCTAATAAAAAACGTAATTAACAAACTTTCACGATTTACTTGCACGGTGCAGGAATAACATTGTGTAATAAAAATCAAACCATCATAATTTTAATTTGCGTAATTACTGGTAAAAAAAAATTGTCATTATTGGCTAAATATGAAGTTAAATAATTTTATAGATAGATTTATTGATTTGTATTTGAGCTACCGAGTACTTAGCACTAGTTAGGCAACGTGTTCGTCTCCCCATAAATAGTCATAGAAACCGTAATTTAGAGAAAAATACTCAATAATATTAGGAAAAAAGTCTTGTACTCAATGTCTCTAATCTGCCAGCTGTGGTCAAATCTGTTACTTGCGCTGCAACATTCTCGAGCTGATCCACTAATGATGGCAAATCTTTACCGACCATAGGAACATTATAATCCATCCTGAAATTAAAAAACATAAAAATATTTGTATATTATGTTCGGAAAAATACAGGATGGTAGCAGCCCTAGTCTCATTTTTTATTATACGAATGGGATCGACGTTTTATGAGCTATCTGATATCGGTTATCGCAGTTCATGGATGTCACCTAATAAATTCTGCACCCACTTTAAAGCATGAGGTTAAAGTTCCTATTGTATTGAATAACAGATACACCCTTGTTAAAAACGTAAACATGACTGCTTTACGACAAAAACAGGCAGGATGGTGTTGCTTACGAGATAAGAATCACAGTAAGCTCTCCCACTTGCACAGATATATTTTAATTCTGGGTACGTTTATTACTGGTGGTAGGACCTCTTGTGAGTCCGCACGGGTAGGTATCACCACCCAGCCTATTTCTGCCGTAAAGCAGTAATACGTTTTGGTTTGGAGGGTGGGGAAGCCGTTGTAATTATACTGAGAACTTATATCTCAAGGTGGGTGGCCTATTTATGTTGTAAATGTCTATCGGCTCCAGTAGCCACTTAACACCAGGTGGGCTGTGAACTCGTCCACCCATCTAATCAATAAAAAACAAGTTTCTCTAGTGAGCGCTGATAGTGAGCTACCACAATAACAGACGGACAATGAAATTAGTAATACCTATATTTCGCAAAATCTACACCGGAAACCACGAGCATTTCGTTCAACAATTTAATGAAATCAAAGGATATCGTTTTCAAAAATCCGACATCTATTGCTGATGCAAGTCCGCTTAAGTCGGCTTGAAGTTCCTCCCATTCGAAGTACGAAGTTTCTTTATTCACGTCCAAGAGTTTGTCTAACTGAAACACTACGTACGCCGGACGGTCCTTTTCACAGTCTCTACAACACAATAGTCAATGGTTTTATATTATGAGCTATATTTATGAGTTATATATATATATATATATATAATTTATGAGCTGACTAGCTTTTTTCCCAAGACTTCGTCCGCATGGAATAGTTACTTTGGCATAACGCTAAATTTTACCAGCCTCCATATTTATGTAGAAAGTGAAAATATTTTTGAATAAAATAGAATGTCAAGAAGCTATTTAAGGTACCAAAATCACGCTTTTTAACCGACTTCTAAAGAGGAAGTTATCAATTCGACCATATTTTTTTATCTATGTAAGTTTACCGATTTTTCGAGAACGCTTGAACCGATTCTGATAATTCTTTTTTCAAAGCTCTCAAAAGGGAAAAAACCCCGATTTTGAAACATTATTTATTGGTGCTCCGCTTGCATTGGTCTTAGCGTGATATTATATAACCTATAGCCTTCCTCGATAAATGGGCTATCCAACACTGAAATATTTTTTCAAATCGGACAAGTAGTTCCTGAGATTAACTCGTTCAAACAAACAAACTCTTCAGCTTTATAATATTAAGTATAGATAAGTTCATAATCTGTATGGCGTTGAATTGGTTATAAGATCTCATAGATTTCTAAATACATACCAATACATGTAATGTATTTTCGGATCACTTTTACGGTGAAGGAATAACATTAATGAATTAAAAGAAACAGCACAAATTATTGTAACTTCTGATAGTTGAACGTCTTAAAAGCAAGTTATAACTATTCGAAGTATCACTAGACTGTTAATGTAGCAAAAGTTTAAAGGGTTTTCAGGTTTCAAAGGTTGTCTAGTCTTAATGTGCTTAAGCCACAATAGCCAATTGAGACTTCCACGGCGGCAGCAACTTGCTGCAAATTGATTCTAGTTTCGAATATTTAATATCAAAATCCTTCGTGCGAACCTTATGACATCTTTGATAGAAATATCCATTGTGACATTATCGACATTGTTGAAGAGGGCATCAAAGATTCCTTCCCTGTTTGATAGTAGTGGTGATGGTCTATCGAACAGAGCTGTAAGTGTCTCATATTGCGGACTATCCCATAGAGCGTGACAGACGTAAACCTAAAATAGTTTCAATAATAAAATCGATATCGAAATAAAAAGTCGAATATTCATTTTCGAAGCATCGAACGTCTCAACGGAACTATCGCTTTATATTTATGGGTCAATTCCTTAAACATGAAGATTTAGATGTTAAATATTGTAGGAAATAATGAAAACAATATAATGTATGATTTCAATGTAAAAGGAAATTATAATTATCAAGTTAAGGAAGGAACCTGTTACTTTTTATTAATGAGTTAATTATTTAATCTTTAATTTAGAAATATTGTAGGCTCATGTTAATATTACAAACAAATTAAGAACCATGTTAGTATGTTGTGGTTAGTCAGACTCGTTTATTTACGGATGTACATTTAAAGGAAAGAAGTAGGTAGTAATAGCAGGAGCAGACGGGAGATTCATATTTGTTTCTTTTGAAAAATAGCCAAGCGTAATTATTTATTCTTTTTTTGCATTTAATTTATAGCCTTTTGGCCTTATTGTACAGTTCATAGTTTAGAGCAAAATTTTGTTACTGTACGGTATATTCATAGCTGCGAACCCAGACGCCTTAATAACGCCTTCAAAGAAACCGAAAGCAATACACGTAAAAGCAATTTTCCACGTGAAATCACAAAAGCGTTTTAAAACATTTTGAATTTTTCCCTTTGGTTATAACGTGTTAAGAATTTTAAAAGTAATGTATGTAAAATGTCATTTTTAACTTACTTCCGCGTGTCCCGAGGCAAGAAATATTGCTGATACCACCGACCATAGTAACAAAGATATGAAACAAAGCAATACTGTCGACCTAAAACAAAAATAATGCTTTTGTTTTCGTTTTATTGTTAAAGCTTGGAGAGCTTGGCACCAGCTATTAAATATATTTTTGGAGTCTAAAGACATCATAGCGGAATAATTTTAGGTTAAGATTTATTGAATGGTCAAAACGCCTTAATCGTAGAAATTGGCTTAGGCCCAAACTGTATTCGTTTTCATTCAAGTGTCAATTGCAAACGGATGCTACATGTAAAATCTTTATCAACGAACTGTATTTAAATAATAAACAACTAGATTAGTTACTGAATAAATGGGATAAATTACATACATAACGACTAATCACTTGGCTGTGATTTGTACTTCAAAACAAATGTATTATTGACTTGTTAAACATTTTCTTTTGAATCAATGAGTGCTTCGAAAGTATTTTTAAATACATAATTAGCATAAGTCATCAAAGTACTATAAAAACTCATCTCTCCCACTGAGAAGCGCCCCTGAAAGGGTCTGAACGGACGCGCAGTCTCTTCAATGTTCTGACTAAAGGGATCTACAAAATCCATAAGCCGTTTGAGCAAGTCGAGAGGTTGAAATCCCAAGAAGCCTTATAAGTTTTAAGTAAAAATATCCCTTATGCTTGTAACCAAGAGTCTTATTTTGATTTTTTTTTGCATTCTTACTGCTATCTTATTGATAAACAAATTAAATATTGACTGGGTTTTCTTAATTTTGCTTACTTACACCTTTAGTGTTCTTTGGGCGTGATTTTTTGCTTGTCCACAACCACACACCATAGCCATTAGTACAAGCGCCATCACAAGTGAGAACATTAGTATGCATGCTGAAATTAGTACTGAATGTTAACTAATACGATGCCTTTTATTAAATGTGCTATAATTAGGTTGACCAGAAAGCGCATGCCGATTTTCGAAATAAGAATAGATTTATGTAATATAGTTAGTTGCACCCAGTTTTCCGAGTTTTATGTGCCTTTTAAATATACCATACAACAATTTTTGCAGTGTTAATACTGAAGGCGTTTGTTGAAAGAGCTATCTGAAAGTACGGTATACGGTATAAGTCTGGTATAGTCACTTCATCACAAATGGCAATCGGATTCGGCGGCAATTATCATGTGATTTATTTGGGATCTGCTAACGTCCTAATAACAGGTAAGGGCGAACTCCACTGCATGTTTGATAAATAAACTATTTTAGATTTGTTAATAAAGACAAAATGTATCAAGTAAATCTTCATATCACATACCTAACATTATAATCCATCTTCCGAACTCGTATTTGTGTATCCTTTCTAAGCTTCTATCGATTTGTTTCGCCATTGAATGTAATCGTGCCGTGAGATCACGTACGATATTGTTTACAATCTTCGCTGAATTGTGTACTTCTTGTCTTCTCGTTTCTATATCCTTTAATACAGCTGAAATATACATTTCTTTGACACGCACTGAAGCTTAATCGATATCATGCATTATGGTAATATAGAAAACCTTGATTTATGATGATTCTAAAACATAGGCTACCTTGTCTGGCAATTAGTGTTTGTGCGGATACAACAGAAGGTATACTTCGAAACTCCTGTCTGGAGATCGAAATGGCTCTCGTTAAGTTCTCAACGCCTAATTTACGAAGTTCTGGTAGTTGCTGCTCGTGAAGGATCTTGAACAAAATATTTATATTTTAATTAATTTTCATTTGGTCCTCATATATATACCCGCATGATGATCAATACAAGAAGACTGACACATGTCTCAGCTAGACCAGGGAGTAAGCGTTCCAGTCTCTATGGGTACTGGTAGTTAGGTTAAGCCTGATAGGCTGTGAGTTCGTCTAGCCATAACATATATCCGGTAAAAACTATATGAATTTATGAAAATTCACAATACACATCATAATTTTTCTATTAACGTCAAAATAATTACCAAAATGCTTAAGCGTTTTACGCGAATGGTAAATATTCAACTGTGAGCATTAAACAATACGAGACCGCGCTCCGAAAGTTCTGGAACTCTCGAGTAACTAAACTGGCGTTATGCTACGAGTACGTAATAAACTATGAAACTTGTGCTTTTAAGTCGCGCAAGTTTCTGTTATCATACGTACATACATGTGAAGCTTAGAGTTATTTAAAACGTGTTGTCAAGTGTTATTATTGCTTTTTAAGTTCATTTCGTTCATTAATTCTCTAATATATCTATGCTCTTTAAAATATAACATCACCTGATAATAGGCCGCTTTTTGATTGCAGACTAGTAGGTATCACCACCCTGACTATATCTGTCGTGAATCAGTAATGCGTTTTGGTTTAAAGGTTGTACTAAAAATCACTTCGTAATAAGGGGACACTAAAAAAACTTGCATACGTCCGGTCATGACCTATGCAAGTGTAATGTTTGCTCACGAAACCCGCACTATTTTGAAGCCCCTTGAAGTCATTCAATCCCGTTTTTTCAGGATGGTCGTCGGAGCACCGTGGCTCATGAAGAATGTGGATCTTCATGATGACCTGGAGCTTGACTCCATCAGTAAGTATATTCAGTCAGCATCAGTGCGCCACTTTGAGAAGGCGGCACGGCACGAAAACCCTCTTGTCGTGGCCGCCGGAAATTACATACCCGATCCTGCTGACCGAATGGTAAACAGTCGACGTCGCCCTAGACACGTCACTTCGGATCCTCCCGATCCACTATCAGTGCTTTTAGGTCCCTCAAGCACCGGTCACCGCTCTCTTCAAACCCGTCGCTCGCGACGAAGGGTTCGGCGACTAAACTAACCCATAGACACAGCCTACTGTTTCTCGCCGGATCTTCTTAGTGGGTTGCGTTTCCGATTCGGTGGTATATTCTGCGAAGCACTGCTCTTGCTAAGCTAGGTCAGGGCTAGTGTTATCAACGCTTCCTGGTTCGAGCCCGGAGAGCTCAACTTTATATACATCTAACACCTCATCTGTATCCTTCTATTCATTTACTATATACGTCTATACATCTAAGCTATATAAAAAACGCTGCCTGATATATACTGGACTGAGCATTAAACATTTTTGTTTTAAGTTCTTATTTTGCAATGACGCTTTATCGTGGATCTCACTCACTAGCCTTTTTTATTTTATGATGTAAAAACCAATTATTTTATAATAAATTATTTTAATGTTAGGGTACAGTTTGTAGTATGGGACAGCCGGTGTAGAAAACATGCAATTGAAACTTAGATCTTGTCTGATTTCAATCTCTCCAACACCCCTGTATATTAGCTACCAAGGGAAATTGAGACTTCAAGTTCATAGTCCACTAGTGGCATGTCAAAGATCGCCAAATAGGGACTCCAATAGGGACCAAATACCCAATTTGTCTAAAATGAGCATTTTACATCATACGATATAAGGTTTTACATATGAACTGCTAATTTTTAATGCTATTACTTTTTGGGGTGGGCATTTTAAAAGAAGTCGCTGAATGTTTTCCAATATAGAAAATGTAGGTTTCTGTGATTGTTTATTCTTAAACTATACGTATTCTGAATCATTTTAATTTAAAATTTGGTACTTTACAAGCTACAGTTCATAAGCCTTTGTCAAATGTTGATGTTTTTGTCAGTTTTAGTTCCAACAAACAGGTGTGCTTCATAGAGATAACGTTAGTAACAGAGGAACTTCTACGGGAGTAATTCCCTAAAATTTTCAAGTATACAAGAAAAGTTACCATGTCAAATTTCATTTTCATTTCCAAAGAGTGAGAGTTCAAAGTATCACATAAAGGCATATCTTTAACGGTGCAATATTTCTTCAGGGTTTCCAGCTGTTTGACCAAATCTTTTATCCTGTCTGAGGCAGCGGATGCCAATACACCGGCTTTGATGCTTACATCGCGAAGGGATGATATTTTTGCAGAGAGGTCTTCAGTTTCTGTAAAGCAGATCGCCAATTGGTTTTTCACATTAGTTTTTTTTTTTTTTTGCTTTGATGGGTGGACGAGCTCACAGCCCAGCCAAATAGGCGGGACGATGGTACCTACCCGTGCGGACTCACAAGAGATCCTACCACCAGTAATTACGCAAATTAAAATTTTTGCGGGTTTGATTTTTATTACACGATGTTATTCCTTCACTGTGGAAGTCAATCGTGAACATTCGTCAAGTACGTATTTCATTAGAAAAATTGGTACCCGCCTGCGAGATTCGAACACCGTTGCATCGCTAGATACGAATGCAGCGGGCGTCTTATCCTTTAGGCCACGACGTGGTTACCGAAGCTTAAAGCATCATGACGAGAATGCATTCAATCATCTTGAGAAACCAGGTTGAAATCATTGTATAGCAGAAGGTCGAAAATTATTATTTTGTCATCAATTCAGCGACATTTTTAATTTTAATTTTTGTTTTTTTGCGAGTCAGTGTTATCAAAGGAACAATTTTGGAGTAAATTTTCGAAATACATTAGAAAAATATTATAGAAAATAAAAAATTGAGTTCAATTAATATACCTAAATCTTGAGGAAAGAGTGATTAAAGACCAATTTCAATCACTGGAGGAACATTGGTTCATTTTAATTCGTTATTGAGACGATCCTCTAAGAACCTCCAGAATTTCATAATAAAAACAATGTAATAAGGCTTCTAGGAAGTGTGTGCGTGGGTAGAATATATTAATAAAATATTCTGGATATTTCATTTTGTCCTAAAACGTCTTTTTAATAGAATAACGTAATAACGCAATATTGTAATATTGGGTTTCATGTCGTCATATTTATCAATGAGCTTGGCTCTGCCCCTGGCATTGCTGAAGTCTATGGGCGATGGTAACCACTCACCATCAGGTGGGCCGTATGCTGGTCTACAAGAGCAATAAAAAAAATATTGAGATATACATAAAGCTAATCACTTTTAAATTTTATATTATTATGTCGTAGATGGGCAAACTAGCTTGCGTCATAAGTGGTGTAAAATGGTCGCTGGAACCCCAATAAATCCCAACTCCAATGAACGAAGCCGTTATAATCCCATTCTCACGGATCGTTTGGAACCTCTGGGTCTGCGGAGGGACTTCGGTTCCCTCTGTATTTGGAACCGTATGTTCCATGGGGAGTGCTCTGAGGAATTGTTCGAGATGATACCGGCATCTCGTTTTTACCATCGCCCCGCCCGCCACCGGAGTAGAGTTCATCCATAGTACCTGGAGCCACTGCGGTCATCCACAGTGCGTTTCCAGAGATCTTTTTTGCCACGTACCGTCCGGCTATGGAATGAGCTCCCCTCCACGGTGTTTCCCGAGCGCTATGACATGTCCTTCTTCAAACGAGGCTTGTGGAGAGTATTAAGCGGTAGGCAGCGGCTTGGCTCTGCCCCTGGCATTGCTGAAGTCCATGGGCGACGGTAACCACACACCATCAGGTAGGCCGTATGCTCGTCTGCCTACAAGGGCAAAAAAAAAAGGCATAGAATAGTCGGAATTAGAGGAAAACACCTTTTCATAATAATATGATTGAAATTTTAGATGAAAAAGCGATGGGAAGATTATTTAGCGGGTTCACTCTCCAAATAGTAAACCAACCCACTGCTATAAAAAATATTAAGTCGAGGAATGGACATGTATTGTGATATGAATGGTTTCCGATAGTCGTATACGACCACCTAAGCTACTCAGTAATTTTGAATGCTTTCAAGTAGTTTCAAGAGTGTGAAATAATAAAAAAATACCGGTGATAATGTCTGCTAAAGAGTCGAAAACTAAATCGATTCCACTTTCGGATGCCACGGCTTGCTGAATGGACTCTCCGAGTAATGTCTCCACATCTGAAATTATTACATTAAAATTGTTCAAATAAAAACTTTATAGCCCAAAGAATAGTTAAATAATGACAATCATTTAAATATTCATATTTTCAGATCACTAAGAGAAAAAATAGACAAAATTTCCAACTGATGTTTTATTTTATATTAGTTTTTCATTTTATCATTTCTTTGACTATAGTCGGCGTTTGTTGGAGGTTTAAAAATAGTCCAATTTGTCGCAACACGTTTAGAAATGATTTAAAGTGAACGATAAGTTCCAAAATTGTTATTAGAATATCAATTATATTATAATATTAACCTATGAATCTTTTCAATACGTACAAACATGGGATATACATATAAAGAATCTATCTATGGATTAAATGATAATCGCGTTGATGTTTAGCTACCAGGTTCAATTGTGATCCTGATTTGTATGGCAATGACAAAAATAAACCATTTATTAATAATATTTATGTTGGGTACCTAAAAAACAGGGTGCGTTAACATAACATAACTAAAACATACCTAAATAGGAGGCGGTCCAGTGAACCAAAAAGTTTAATAGCTTCTAGACTGATCTAGAAAGTTCTGAAACTTGCATAGCATTTCCGTGCCATGTTTAAAGAAAAGTAAAATATGCGAGAAGGTTTCATTTTATGAGAGAGACAATACCACTATGTCTAAATATATGTTTTATTATAAATAAACAGCGCTACAAAAAGCTAATAAACTGGAAATTGTATAATTAGTAAATAATTATTTGTATGGAATATAAATTGTAACTGGAGATTTTATAGTTTGAATTCCATAATAATCTGAATGTTTGTAAAGTTGAAATAAAAACAAAACAGGAACAGCAATCTTGTTTACCGATCGCTTAATTTTTATAATTCAAGGTTTATACAGAAATTATTCATATTCTTTTCGTAGCATTGAAGTCTATAATAATTGATTGCTGTCGTATCAAGGTCATTGCCAATCTGTTTTGCCATTTTTTTCTGTATTATTATGTAAATAAAATAGCATTGAAGCCGATATATTTGTTACGTCTGATTGCATTATCAATAATTTTTTTAGTAGAAATTTTTGAATCAAGCGCAAATGCTCGTTCTTTTGTCGACATGAATGCATTGCTGGTTCCGGAATATCGCAGAATTTTTAGTTTTGCTTATTTCTGCCGCGAAGAAGCCATGTTTGGTCATTGTCTGGGTGTTTACTATATAGTTAAACGTATATAAGTATGTATGTATGTCCGTCTCTGGTACCCATAACACAGGGTTTCCTATTTTGCTGACTGTACGTGATTTGTTCCCAGCTATTTATAATTAACTAGCTGAACCGGCAGACTTCGTAGTGCCTCAGTCGATAAATAAAAGACCTAAACTTTTGTATAAAATAAACTTAAAACAAACAAAAGGAATCCGTTCGACGGGAACACATCAAAGGCAAAACAAAATTGTTATTTTTTTTAATTCCGAGCATTTTCATATTTATCTACCTTTCAAAACTTCTCTGGACTTCCACAAATAATTCAAGAGCAAAATTAGCCAAATCGATCCAGCCGTTCTAGAGTTTTAGCGAGACTAACGAACAGCATTTCATTTTTATATACCTATATAAGTATATAGATTATATAGACATGTGTTATTATTATAAGTAGTTTATAATAATAGTAATCTGTGTTGGTACTCACTTTTTAAATCGTCTTCGTAAGCGTGGAGCACAAGATCTATTGGTGGAACGAGACTGTGATACAACTGTCTTGCTGCAGTAGACATCCAAGAGACTACGTCTGCGCATGCGCAGCTGAAAACATTGTTACTGTCAATGGCCGCTGTGTGCGCTTGTTCGTTGCTTATAGCCATTCCTGATATTAGAACACTGAAAAAATGCAAAGATTAACATATACAATATGATATAATTATATAATTTGATTATTGGTCACGGAATCAAGAACAGAATGAATCAAGGAATTCTGTGACTAGATGTTTTGTTTATATCAGAACAGTAAATAAATTCATAATAAGTAAATACTGTAGGGCAATGTAAGTAGCAAGTGATTGGGAAGCACTTTCAAGAAATTGATTTTTTACAAAATTAACGATGGTCACAACCCGAAATCACCGGTTTTCGCGGGGTACTATATCTTAAAGCTTAAATATTCACTTTAAATCAAATTTACTAATAGCCTAATTTATTATGTCGTAAAAAAAATTGGTAAATAAAACCTATCAAAAGAGACTTCGGATAAACACATCCAAAACATGAACCAGTATTTCCAGACTTGATATTAAATAAAATGACATACCCTACAGAAGTCCGTCACTATCTATCAGATAAAAACAAACGAACATCTTCATTATTAAAGCTACGATGGTGGTTATCCTAATGCAATGCGAACTTTTTTTTTTCTCATCTAATTGGTAGCTAACGGGGCTTTTCCAACTACGCAAAGACGGGTAGGTGAGCTCATGAGCTCAACCTGATAGAATTTGCAAACACCAGCCCTAGCAAGAGCAGTGCTTTGCAGAATCTACAGGATCGAAATCGCGATCCATCAAGAGGTTGACTGGTGGTAGGACCTCTTGTGAGTCCGTGCGGGTAGGTACCACCACCCTGCCTATTTCTGCCGTGGAGCAGTAATGCGTTTCGGTTTGAAAGGTGGGGCGGGCCTTGTAACTATACTTGAGACTTTAGAACTTATATCTCAAGGTGGGTGGCGCATTTACGTTGTAGATGTTTATGGGCTCCAGTAACCACTTAAGACCAGGCTGTGAGCTCGTCCACCCATCTAAGCAACAAAAAAAAGGTTTCAACAAGAAAAACAAAGGTTTATATTTATGGGCTATGTTGGGCGAGAACGGTTATAGCGGTGCTTGAGTAGCCTAAAAGCACTAAGAGTAGACCCGAAGGAACCAATAAGGCATGTTTTGGGCGACGGCGGCTTTCCATTGCCTCGTCGCGTGGTTTGGATATGTAATTAGAGGCGGCCATAATAAGGGGGTTGTTATGACGTGTCGTTATCTTGACCAAGCGCTTTGACACTTTCAAATGCGATCTTTCATGACTCAAGGTAGTGAGCAGTATTCAAATTTTGGTATCTTAGGGCTTCGGTTATCATTTAACACTAGATAGACCGTCACATCAACTTATCAATGCCAGTAAAGCATTTCTATCATTCTATAAAAACAGTTAGTGGACTAGTGTTTCAAACACGATTTTTATCGTTAAACTTTGTCTATATCAGATATTAATTTATTGTCAGTTTGCATAAGGTCATGGAGTATATTTCTCACAGGAGTTCAAATACTATTAACTCCTGTCCTTGTCTTCATGTCCACGGTGTTCTAACCAAATAAAAATCAAACGCAAGATTTGAATTTAAATCATTATTTAGAGTCATTCGAGAAATTCACATTGAGTTCCATAATATTGATTTCAAATCTTTCCCGCTAAACGAAATTCAATTATCAAATTATTCATTCCGCATTTTAATTTTGACATCAAAGTATATTTGCGAACTGAAATAAATTCAAAAGAAACAGTAATGAAAGAGTTGGCGAAATTTTTAGAAGTTTTAAATTTTCGTCGATTTAATTGCTCTTCTGTTAATTTGCTTCATTTAGATTTTGAAAAGTCAAACTTCCCTTTTACGAGATAGTATGCTAATATTTTTCAAATCTGAATATTGTTTACGTAGTCTTAGTAGACTACTTTACTACGAAACATTTGATTTAAGTAATATGACGCGTGAGTTAATTTCAGATATATCGGAAATAGTTCCTTGGATCTCGTAACATTATTCTTTAAATCAATTCTAATACCTATCTGAAGATCAAAATTATCCTAGTCACAAATGTCCTTAAAGTAAATAAAAAAAGAAGAATATTATAACTAGCATTTTAAAGTTTCAATGTATACAGAACAAAGATCATGGGTGTTTCTCGCTGGAGCTAGTAAAAATGTTCCAACTTACACTTTACTGGTACCAACTAACGAACTAATATTCACTGGATTGTCATTATATTATAATAGTTTTTATATGATCACTTTTGTATTCTACTGAAAAATGTGTATTATAAATAGGACATACCAGCAAACCAGTACGGCAAACAAGGTCATTACGACCAACGCTTTGTCGTTGCAATCTGGTTCTTCTATATCAGGAAATAACGCACCGGCTTCTGTTTCGTCATCACAACTTGACTTTGAGAACAGCGATAGAATTCCCAAGACGAGAAGGTATGACGGTATTACTAAGGCTATACATGCGAACACGACGATACAAACCAAAAATGTCGACTCCACTTTTATTGACTGAAAAAAGAAATCGTTATGATTTTAAAATGCTTCGCTGATCTTATCTAATTTCAAGTTGAAAAGCTTTGGAATTTTGAAAGCCTATACTTATGTAAATCAAGATTTTACTAAGAATTAAATTCAACAAAACCAATGGTTTTGATTTGTGTACTTAGATGGGAAAATTATTAGTCAGAATGAAATAAAGATTATTACAAATGTTTTTTCCATCATCTTTCTCTGTATCATACGATATTCTCCCTTCATCCTGGAAGTCTTAAGATGAAACATGTTCGCTCAACAAATCAAAACAGACAAGGCATAATCCGAGAAAAAGCTGATGTAATTAGACGATGACCAATGCGTCTTGTCTAAGAGAGAAATGCCCATTTTGTGAAATGAGCAAAGGAAAATCTCAGTATAATCAATAGTTCCGACATAATTTTGAGCACTTTCGGGGAATAATTAGATGGTTACAGTCTTAAGATAAGCATTGAGCCTTAATAAAGTTTTTAAGAATATTTTCGATCCCATTTCTCAATGATTCAGCAATCATATTTTAATGGCAATGGGCCCGGGTAATAATAAATTTACATCAGATGTGCTGAGAACTTGTTACAGCCTAAAAATTCATGTAACGATTTTGTTCTAAAATTAGATTGGATCTGTATAAATTCTAAAAGAAATTACTTTTAATCCTAAATATTTGGGCCTGAGTACGAAATTTTGAAATTGTTCAGGCTCTTAGCTTGCTATTTTTTGTCTCTTATAATTGGTACAAATCTAACTTAGTTCAGAACGGATAAATCGTAAAGTACGTTTTTTTCCTTGCATTTGGTTTTTTTTATTTTTTATTGTTTAGATGGGTGGACGAGCTCACAGCCCACCTGATGTTATGTGGTTACTGGAGCCCATAGACATCTACAACGTAAATGCGCCACCCACCTTGAGATATAAGTTCTAAGGTCTCAAGTATAGTTACAACGGCTGCCCAACCCTTCAAACCGAAACGCATTACTGCTTCATGGCAGAAATAGGCAGGGTTGTGGTACCTACCCGCGCGGACTCACAAGAAGTCCTACCACCAGTAATTACGCAAATTATAATTTTGCGGGTTTGATTTTCATTGCACGATGTTATTCCTTCACCGTGGAAGTCAATCGTGAACATTTCTTGAGTACGTATTTCATTAGAAAAATTGGCACCTGCCTGCGGGATTCAAACATCGGTGCATCGCAAGATACCAATGCACCAGACGTCTTATCCTTTAGGCTATGACGACATCATATAACCAAAGGAGTCTTAGGCTAGAACAGATAAATGCTTAATACCTTTGAAGACAAACAAATGCTCGACGCACCTGATGGTAATTGGAAACCTATACTGCCGCTGCCTATTGCAATACGGGATATTTCAAAAGTTGCTCAGTATATTATATTAATAATACTAACTGACCCGGCAGACTTCGTAGTGCCTCAATCAATAAATAAAATACCTAAACTTTTGTATAAAAAAAACTTAAAACAAACAAAATGAATCCGTCCGACGGGGGACACATCAAAGGAAAAACAAAATTGTTTTTCTTATCTAATTCCGAGCATTTTCATATTTATCTACCTTTTAAATCTTCTCTGGACTTCCACAAATAATTCAAAACCAAAATTAGCCAAATCGGTCCATCCGTTCTCAAGTTTTAGCGAGACTAACGAACAGCAATTCATTTTTATATATACTTATACTTAAATATAGATTTAATAATAATAGCTATTTATTCCGATGTTTACCTAAGATATTTATTTACTAATACTGCTGTCACAAACAAGTGTAGATAGAGCTTGACATTAAATTCCACTTTAAGTTACTACATTTTCCGTGATAATTTTAAACGTTAAGTTTATTATTTTAAGAATACGCGTTTTATAAGCAGGTTGTAAGCTTGTTTTCGCATTTTATTAATTTAAACCAGTCGGGACACTTTTTATCTGACTAACCTGTAGCCACACAATGTTTTGCCTATTATGAAACAAAAAAAACTTTGATCGTTTTTTAAACTATAAAATATTGAATTCTTGCTAAATTAGACTCACATCGACTGGCACACACAACACTGGACAAATATACGTGTGATGCTTTTAGCACTAATCGGAAGAGCCAAGGCGTTATTGAGTTTCAGAAGGCTATCCTTTTAAAATGTCATTGTTGTTTGCTTTCTTTTTTTGATATATTACACAAACCATTCGGTCGACCTCTCTGGATACTAAGGAAATGATTTATGTGTTTCTAAAATATGAGGTTCATGGGTATGATTTTGATTTCATGATTAGGGTAGATCAGAATCACCCCAATATAAATAAGAAATATATTTTTAAAGAAGAGCATTGTATTGTAGCCCACATTGGCACAATGCCTTCAACATCTATACTATCCTTCGATTGGAAGGCCAATCTATAGTATTTCTGACGTCCATAAGCGACGGTCCACTTCGATAAAGCGGCACGACACGAGAACCCTCTCATCGTGGCCGCCGGCAACTACATTCCCGATCCTGCGGACAGAATGGAAAGCAGTCGACGTCGCCCAAAACACATCATCTCGGATCCTCCCGATCCACTAACGGTGCTTCTAGGTACTTCAAGCACCGGTCACCGTCCTCGTCGAACCCGTCGCTTGCGACGAAGGGCTCGACGAGTAAATTAACTCTCAGACACAGCCCACTGAGTTTCTCGCCGGATCTTCTCAGTGGGTCGCGTTTCCGATCCGGCGGTAGATTCTGCGAAGCACGGCTCTTGCTAGGGTTCGTGTTAGCAACGTCATCAGGTTTGAGCCCCGTGAGCTCACCTACAAACGTTAGGGTAACGCTGAAATAGCCACTCAAGACTCTCAGCTTAGGTAGGAAAAAAAAAAGAAAAAAAGCGACGGTGGGTTGTATATTTTTCATTATATTCATTAGGTGGGTTCTACACTTATTTGCCCATAGGACAATAAAAGAAAGGTTCAATAATCCATTATACTTGGTAGAATCTGGCGCCAAGTTCGGTTCAAAAATCCCGTTGCAAACGGAGCGCCACACTACCGACTGTGTTTACTGTAAGCAGAACGGTTTTTTGACTTTGCAAAATTTTATTTAATTCTACGTTACTTATCCTCTCCCGAACCTGAGATATTTAGATGGACCTTTAATTGTTGTAGTCTCTGGTGTTAGGTGCTACTCAGATGAAACCAGTAGTAATAATGCTCTATACTGATGCTCTCACTGTGATATTCATGATGTCCTGGTGAAACTGGAAAGGCCTCTGGGCCAACAGTAATCCCTCATTCATAATTTAAAAAAAAGATAGTCTTCCGAGCAACATCACCCGCTCGGTGGAAGAACTTCTCTTCGTCATTATTTTCACACCTTGATAAAGAAAATGAACCTATCTTAAGTAATATGTTTAATTTTTTTAAATTTAACAATGTTGATAACAAATATTAATAACATGTAATGAACAAAATGATTTCTGTATAATTAAAATTCAAACGCACCTGTGAAAAAACTTGTAATTTAATTTAAATAGTTTAACGTACATTATTCGAAGGTCACATGAAATATCGGTAGTGCGTCATCCGTAGGCTCCACAACAGAATTAATTCCTCGAAGGTCAATTAAGTTAATAGTTATCAAAACTTAATATATACGTCATTTCATGTCTGAATTTACGGAACAGAAACGAGAAATCACATCTCAGGTAGGTTCAAGGTTTTAAATTTAATATACATAATGTTTGTATTATGTGTTACCATATTCAAAGGGTTCTGTATGTAATTTTTACTTATAATTCAAATTTAATTCTATATTATTACTACAAATAACTCAGCAGTCTGCTTAAAAACGGCTAAGCGGATATAATCTACTACACACTAAAATACATTGTCAACCTAAATTCATTTTTAGTTAAAGGTCACGAATGTTGCAAAGTAATTGGAATATTCTTTCAAGAAATGCATCAAAGTACACGCAAAATCTAAGGAAATATTTTGTATTAATATTTTTGGGTCAGAACCTATGTTTGATGCTTTGTATGAGACAGAATTCACCCGAGGTAGGCTGACGACAAAGCGACACGTTTCACGCAAGGCGCATCTCTAAGCACAATATTGTCCTTATAAAATGCAGAACTGACGTGACCGCAGCTGGCGGTATATCTGAAGGTCTCTCAGGCGGTGTCGCCAAATTACACTCCCGGGATACCCACCATTTAAGATCAGATTGAGGGTGAGTAGGGGAGTGCGGTCATCCGTAATCCGGAAGACGCGAGTCGCACGTAACGTACGCGTTGCATTTTTTGGGCCCCTTAGCAAGTTCTTAAATTAGAAGCGGAGCGAGACCTTAAGGTGCCGTTTGGGCGAGATCTATATCTTGGCCCCTATTCGACCTCGACGGGTACACGAAGAGAGAAGCGCGTTCTTTCTCAGACATTAGTGTAAGTTCTCGTACATGTAGGCAGCGGCTTGGCTCTGCCCCTGGCATTGCTGAAGTCCATCAGAGGCTTGGCTCTGCCTGCCATTGCCTGGCATTGCTGAAGTCCATGGGCGACGGTAACCACTCACCATCAGGTGGGCCGTACGCTCGCCTGCCTACAAGGGCAATAAAAAAAAAACATGTTAACTGGAACTTAGAAATTGATAATCGCCCTACGAGAAATGAGGTTAAATATTTTTGAGATATCATGATTTTTCATAAAAATAGCTGCCTTACGTTTATTATTAAGACAATGAGTTATAATAGTTACTAGTAAAATACATTTATTAGGAAAAAATATTATCCACGGAACTTCGAAAAGATTTATTATTGTTCGGTTCCTTCCTACAAGTCAACCGTACGTACAGTTGAACTGACTTATTTCCTTTTCGCGATACCTTATTTTGTATGAACAATAATATGTAAATTAATTATTTGACATCACATTTTATCTGAATCGTTTTTAATACAGCGTCAGTTTGCACAAGGTTCGCGTCGGTGATAAACGGATTTTATTTTAATTTATAATAAGAAAATCATGTTTAATTATTTTTTTACGATTGCGATATTTTTCGCTTTAAACAGCTATCAATGTTACGCTAGAGTGGCCCGTAAGTACTATTTATGTAACGTACGTACATATTTCGATTTACGATTTAAAATTGTTTTAGTTCAATTTTCAAAGATGTTAATTCGTCGATTTTTAATAACAAACTTGGGGTTATTTTTCTAGCGGATTTCATTAAAATATGCCCCGGGCAAAAGTCGGAATGTTTGAAGAGTACTGTACAGGAGACGATACCGATTTTCTCGAAGGGTATTCCGTCCCTAAATATAGAACCGATAGATCCACTGAAACAGGATAAAGTGGTCGTGGAGCTTCCGGGGGGTTTTAAAGTGGAACTCTTGAATGGAACTGTGACGGGCTTTAGAAATTGCATCGTGGATTCTGTCAGGTAAGCGAGTAATTGGAATCTAACTAACTCCCTTTTCGTTTTCGCAGTATCAAAATGTTTTCACATTGAAACTATAGTTTGACTTGTCAATATTTAAGTAAAATCTTATTGTACGTTAATCGACTGACTTGTATTGGTACCGATGAAAAATTAAATACATATATTTGTACTTAGTTTCGAAGATCTACTAAAAATCATATAATATTATACACTTAAATTGGTGGACGAGCTCATAGCCCACCTGGTGTTAAGTGGTTACTGGAGCCCATAGACATCTATAACGTAAATGCGCCATCCACCTTGAGATATAAGTTCTAAGGTCTCAGAATATAGTTGCAACGACTGCCTCACCCTTCAAACCGAAACGCATTACTGCTTCTCGGCAGAAATAGACGGGATTGTGGTACCTACCGTGCGGACTTACAAGAGGTCCTACCACCAGTAAATCCGGTTTGCGGCCTGGTTCACCNGGAGCCCATAGACATCTATAACGTAAATGCGCCATCCACCTTGAGATATAAGTTCTAAGGTCTCAGAATATAGTTGCAACGACTGCCTCACCCTTCAAACCGAAACGCATTACTGCTTCTCGGCAGAAATAGACGGGATTGTGGTACCTACCGTGCGGACTTACAAGAGGTCCTACCACCAGTAAATCCGGTTTGCGGCCTGGTTCACCGGTTCTGTTTCGCTCGTTCTTCTTAGGCCTCTGAAGAATATATTTATTACCAACGAATTATGATCTAACTGAAAAACATTTGATTTTCCTTGTACTTTTTCGAATGGTGACAATAAAAAGTTTTTAAATTAAGATATTAAGTTGAAGTCGTCAGTCGTATCGAGCGATGCCAATTTATTCCAATGAAATACGTACTTGACAAATGTTCACGATTGATTTCCACGGTGAAGGATTAACATCGTGTAATAAAAAACAAACCCGCAAAAATTATAATTTGCGTAATTACTGGTGGTAGGACATCTCGTGACTCCAACCGGGTAGGTGCTATCACCCTGCCTATTTCTGCCGTGAAACAGTAATGCGTTTCGCTTTGAAAGGCAGCCGTTCTATAGAAAAAAAACAGAGAACAGAACTCATGTCTCGAGGTGGGTGGCGTCATTTACGCCATATATGTCTATGGGCTCCGGTAATCGCTTAACACAAGGTGGGCTGTGCTCGTCCACCCCTGTAAGCAATAAAAATTAACTATGTAGCTCTAATTATGTATTCATTGTCGAATCACACGTGTAAACATTTCTAGTTACAACGATGAAGAAGCTGAAATGAAATTCCACTGTAATTTGACGATCAAAGGAAAATATAAAGCTAAGGGACAAATTTTAATTGTATCAATAAATGGAGACGGAGACGCGAAAATTAAAATAAGTAAGTTTTTGTCTTTTAAGTGAGATTTACAAAAAAAACTTGGATATGATTTTTCGAGTTTTTGTGAACATATTGATGTAGCGTTAGCGCAGTCGTTTTAAACCTGCCTGTCACGGAATAGATAAATAAGGTTGGAAAGGCCTTTGCTCTAATTTTGTATTAGAACCAGTGTCGCCGCTTCATCCCCACTATTTTAATTTCTACACATACACATACTGTGATTACAAGTATTTCGCACACAACAAAAACACCCACACATAAATCTCAGGACAGATATTCGTTCGCAAACTAGCACAAAACACCCGTAGGCATACACACTCACACACGCAAAAAGGCAATAAAAATGTTCATACACGCTAGTGCTTGATAAAATCGATATTCTTTATCGATAAATTATCTGATGAATGAATGGAGAAAATGAAACATGAAATAAATATTGAAAAAAAAAACTATTTTACTTTTATTAATTACAAATAGTCACTGTCGCTGGAATAAAACGTATTTGTTAAGCAGTTGGCGCTTGCTATTAATTGCGAATGAATTTTTCAAAACTAAGTGTATTCTGATTTTTTTTATGATAAAATCATTTTCAGTAAAATGTTTAGAGCAAATAGTACTCGTCTTTGTCTCCAGTTTCCTCTACCTGTCACGTCAATCCATTGTTCCCTGGCGTTAGGTTCTTTAGGAAACCTAAAATTTTTAATTTACTGCATAAGTCAAATAGCATTTTACTTAGATTTTAATACGTCTTAGACAATATAGTAAATACCCGTAAATTAGAGGTCTACATGTCCCTTTATATTATACCTTCACTTTAATTCAATGATAATAATTCAATAATAATAATACATATTTATTTTACTCAAAATACGTCTCACTAAGAATATACTAGGTATCATTAATTAAATATAAAATAATGCAAAAATTATCCATGTCAAATGTAAATATAGTCGAGAATTCTGTCGATGATTTTACCACATGGTCACCTCACTATCGACAAACTGCACGGCCAATCAGGGCAAAGGCCGAAATTTCAAAGATTGAAGTGTAGAGAACGCAATGCATGTAGTACATTGGAAGCTGACTTGGTCATTGCGTTCATTGGGCGAGTACACATCGCGCAATGTATGCTATTTATAACTTGCTGCAATAATATTGTTAATGTTTGGAATTTCATAATGCTCAGTATATTTTTATGTTTTAGACAAATAATATTGTAATTAAATGGTAATTTCGACTTACCGATCGAAAGATATACCTCCTCGCTCTATACTTGAGGTCTGATTTTTTGGTTTACAAGTTATAATTGCACAACACGGCACTATAAAGCGGATATCTGTTCGCCAAAGTAGTCCGAAGCGCACTAAACGCGGTGAATTAAAGAATCGGTCGAGTTATGTTTGTACAATCATAACTGTGGCACGCTTGCCCGCCTACATTACCATTCCAACCTTATTTATCTATTCCGTGCTGCCTGTCCTACGTATTCATCTGATAGTTTAACCGGCTATTAATAAGGTTATATGCGAATAGTATTTTTTTGGCGCTAGATGGGTATAATTCTGTATTATATTGCACTGTCCCATCTAATGAGTGTTTTCCGACAGAATTAGGCTACAAACTGGTATTATGAAATCCTACCTTCAGTAAAAGAGAATTTGCGATTGCAGTGATAGTAGAATACTCAGAGCACATTGCTATACAACTTTACGACGACCAGAGGAAGAAATGTGGCTGTTATACTTTAGGCACTACACAGGCCTCAGCTCTAGCTTCTTTCTTATCATCCATACTTACTACCCTAAATAGTAGCACCTTTTTATTCTTATCTAGTTTTTGTCTACGTTAATAAACAAAATGTAAGCGAAACATAAAAATCGTAATTCGAAATTCGATTACAATATTATTTGTTTGAATTTAATTGATCTATGTGATGATTATGTAACAATATCAACTTAATTTTTGTACATGACTGTCATACCTTCAAATCTAAAAGATATTAGTAAATGAATAAGGTTAACAAAATAATAGGAGCGCTGATGACTTTTACTCTAATAATTTATTTGTTAAAAGCTTCGTCTCGATTTATAAATTTCATTTACTGAGCTACCCATTTTGTCTAGTTTTTGACAATTGTTTTTTTTCTTTTCAGCGGACGTAGCACTAATGTTAAAGGTTAAATTTGAAGATGTGGAACGAGATGGCGAGGTTTATCAGGAAGTTAAAAGCTACTCGTTGGATTATAAAAACGAGGGAAGAGTTACATTTTTCTTGACGAATCTGTTCAAAGGGAATCCCGAAATTAGTTAGTAGCATTAATATATATTTTATGATTAAATTTTCTGTTGAAGAACAATCAAGTGAACAGCCTAATTGATGGTAGGTGATCAACTTTGTCCGATCGAAAGACAAGTGTGTATTACCAACATTTTTGTGGCTGATTTTCCTTAAAAATATTCTCAAATTAAATGTCACGAGAACTTCAAGATCGGAATACTTCTCAAGGAATAAAAGGGCACATCCTTCACAACTTATTCATTTTAACGACATAACTTTAACTCCCTATGTCTGTACTATCGCCATTGCCGATTAACTGAATTTTCACTGGTGGTAGGACCTCTTGTAAGTCCGCACGGGTAGGTACCACCACCCTGCCTATTTCTGCCGTGAAGCAGTAATGCGTTTCGGTTTGAAGGGTGGGGTAGCCGTTGAAACTATGCTGAGACCTTGGAACTTATATCTCAAGGTGGGTGGCGCATTTACATTGTAGATGTCTATGGGCTCCTGTAACCACTTAACACCAGGTGGGCTGTGAGCTCGTCGAGCCACCTAAGCAATAAAAAATAAAAATAAAATCTCTTGCTGTTAACAATCTTATGTCAAAGTCATATTTTATTTTTTGCAATTTTAGTCAAAAAGGTGTGGAAGCAAATTGTATACATAAATAATAGTACTCACCGAAACAAAATCCGACACTTTAAAGTTTTACTTGGACTGTTTATAAAATTCTAGTCTCCAAGTTGTACATTTACTACATAACATTGGCTGTTTCTTACTCAGCTAAGTACCAAAACTGTCTTCGGAACGTTAATAAAGAAATCCCAATATCTTTTTTCCGGAAGTTGAGATATATCAAGTGATAGGCAATAACAAAGAAAGGAAGCTTTAACAGCCGACCAATAACAGTAGCTCTGATTACGAGTTACGAAATTAATTTACGTTAAGGGAATGAACTAGCCCGGGATTGCTTAAAGAAGTAGGTCTTCCTTAAAATTTAGTAACAATAACCGATGGTCTATACTTGTCCGATGGTCCGATATAACTATACTTGAGACCTTAGAACTTATATCTCAAGATGGGTGGCGTATTTACGTCGTAAATGTCTATGGGCTCCAGTAACCATTTAACACCAGGTGGGCTGTGAGCTCGTCCACTCATCTAGCAATAAAAAAATAAAAAAAATCATGTTATCGTCTGATACCTAACAAGTCGTGAATTGGCAAGGTTCTAAACGTAATATTCTGTGGATTTTGCGAGTCATAGACTACTTATACGAATTAATCTCATCATGTTCTTTCTAACATTTCGAATTTTTGAATTTAAATTACGATTTTTTTTATTATTATTTATCCCATAACATTGTGGATGTATTTTTAATTGCAATGTTGTATTTTTTTTTGTAGGCAAAGCCGTTTTGTCGTTCATCAATGAAAATTGGAGGCAACTAACTGAAGAGTTCGGAAAGCCAGTTGTCGATGAGCTGGTCCGTTTAGTATTCGAAGTTGTGAAAAAATTCTTTACTTCGATCCCTAAGAAAGAACTATTTGTTGATTAAATGACTATTTAAAAGATGTATTTATTTTCATTGTCTTTCGTGTCTTTTTGTAGATTAATGATCGCATAAGACAGAAAAATCTTATTCTGAGAATAGTAATCCATTGATGTATTTATAATTCATTTTATTTTCTATGTTTTTTTTTTATATCAATGTAATGGTATACTTCTTTACGTACCTGCAAAAACGAATGTGGAAACGTGAACTCTCCCCAAACTATGTCTTTGATTAGACCTTAAACAAAAAAATACTAATGATAGAACTTATGAATCGCTGTATTAATTTTGTATTTGACTAAGCGCAGTGAATTGGAACGCGATGTGAACCATATTTGTATTGAAATTAGTATCATTACTCACCTATTGGAAAATCAAACGGATAAATCAGGTAAAAGAACCGTGACATAAAACTGAAAGGGTAAAATCCCTCCTCGAGCTTCAACGTGGGTATCAAATATGTTTCCCTTTGGGGGAGTTCACTAAATCGTATTTTCGTTCTGTCCTTTGACTCAAACCAATCTTCTGTGTAACCAGCTATAATATTGTTTTCTGTCACATTAATATTGGCCGTGGTGCTCGGCACTTGCTCTTTGAAAACGTTTCTTGTTATGGGTATGACGTGTACCGTACTTGACGCAGTTTCTGTCACCGTTTGCACGGTAGTCTCTGTATTTTTTTTCGGAATCGGAAAATCCAATTTTTGTTGACGTCTTTCTTCACTTTTACTGTTTTTTAAGTTATTGTATTTTTGCAACCAAGCCTTAAAGGTTGTCGTGTCGTTTAAGCCCACATTCCGCTTATTCCACAGGTTTCCGATATCTTTGTTACCCTGAATGTGTATATTATCATCAACATGTGTATTTTCTTCATATTTCACTGTGTTTCCATAATTTTCTTTGTGCCGTGTTTCTACACAGCCATTCCAAACTAAAGGCATCACTTGGGCGGTATTCGTTTTATCTTTTTCATTTAGAGGAAAAATCCCACCATTATATATGACTTTTCTATCTGTAGATGAAGGCAAGTCAACGTTTTCTTCGTTTCCGATTTGATTCTTTTTTTCCATTTCATTTCTAAGTGAGCGAATTGCTTGGAAATTTTCATGTACATCCTGGTTGTTCGATGCTGCGCCCTCGTCGGCATTGAGATTGTTTCCGGCGGAGGTAGCGGCGTCCGCATCCGCGCGTCGGATTTGTAAGGTAAAAATCGCGACGGGAGCATCTGATAATGCGATTTCGCCAATCTCTGGTGGTAACTCGGTTATCGTCGTTCGCGTGCTGACTCGATTTATAAGTAATATTCCGAGTAATAGAATCACGGCCATAACGGAATTAGCTTTGTGTTTATATTTTCACGGCACGAGTGTATTAAGTCGTTGGTAGCTGTTTCCGACTGAGCGGGGTGCGGGACATTGGTCAGAGGATTTGTAGCACTTAGTAGTCTGCCCGGCTACGTTGCACAATCGTATCACGACGGCTCCACTGTGCCTTTACTGGATTATGTACAGAGTACACCACACTCAGAAACTATTTACATTAATATTATTTCTACTGTGGTTAATAACATCAATAATGCTTACAAAAAATAATGTAGATATTATTTAAGTGTAAGATTTTTTTGATAGATGTTTTGAAAGTAAAATTATGGTTTAGAGATAGACACATTTACAGAAAACGATTATAAGCAACGGTCCTGAGATACAAGAAATGAACTTGAATTATTGCTAATTTTTAAACCTTTTTTTTTTGGTCAGGAGGTAATCGCCGTACTTCCGCCCTCCACTGGGGACGGCGGGCGGAGTATGGCGGGATCGAACCGACTAAACTTCCTGTCGCTCAACAACCAACGTCCAAACCTCACATGAGACAGAACCCATGAAAAGGCAAAGGGAGGAAAGTGAAGTGTTTAGTGCGGAGCACATCTCGCCCATCACCCTCCCCCTCGCGACGCCGAACTGGTGGTCGTCAGCGCCACAACCACCAGCCCTCTCGGTCGGCAGGCTATCCGAATCCCGCCTAGATGGCACCGGTTAGAATGGTCTATCCTACGGAATACCCCGCTGGGTCAGAACCAGCGTGGGTCGAGGAGGCCTTCTATCACCCGGATGCTCTTGCGTAAAACGCGTGCAGAGCAGCTTGCACGTGGTCTACTTAGGGCCCCCCTCGTCGGTCCCTAGACCAACATGTGAGGGGGACCCGAAATACTTAGAGGGCCAGGGCTTGGGCGAGATCCGCCTTCCTGGCCCCCGCTCGATGGCGGCGGGCCTCTGCGTCTCTAACGTGCCCCGCCGCCTCCTTCTGCGAGATGGTGCACTCGCAGAAGTCGAGCATCGCCTTCCACGACTCGTCGTCACCGAGCATCGATGCCACAACACTCGGCAACGACATGTCGTTTCCTATTTTTGCGACGAGGACACAGCGCCACCCCTCCCATGCGGGGCAGGCGACGAGCGTGTGCTCCGCCGTGTCCAAGTTGCAACCACAATGGTGGCACTCTGCCGTCAGCTCGGCTCCGATCCGGTGCAGGAACTCACCGAAGCAACCATGCCCAGTGAGCACTTGCGTGAGCCGGAAAGTGAGGCGTCCTCTGTCACGATTCACCCAATTCACAAGAACCGGACGTATAGCCTCGCGCTATGACCACACTGGGGCTGGGACGCGCCACGCCCCGGGCACAAAGGTCAGCCCGCCAGTGATAGTCAGCAGCGAGCGTATCCGCTTCCAGAACCCAAGGCGGCGTTCTAGCCAGTACACACGCCGCCTCGAAGGAGATGGTGCAATAACCACGAATGACCCTGACCGCGATGGTGCGTTGCGGTCGTTGCAGCAGCTTCGCCACCCCCACGGCCAGGGACTGGCCCCACACGGGCTCCCCGTATAGGGACTAATTTTTAAACTAGGCTGTTTTATGTGAGATATTAATATGACACCAATGATGAACTGAACTACTCTATGTCTCGCGGCTTGTGTTAACTTTGTCGGGTTTTGTACGTGCGAAAGTGACAGGATTTTAGTACGTAGGAAAAATATATTTTAAAATCATTATAATAATATCAATAGAAAAAAAAATACTCTAGAACAAAAATTCGAAAGGGTACTTCTTAATGTAATTATTTGAAAACTTACAAATGTCATAGTGTACGGATTATGGGGAGTAATGACTATCCGTGGATAATCTGTAAAGCGATGCCCAATATAAAGTAAAACTAAGTAGTTTAAGGAAAATACAAACTTTAATCTTTGAGTCAAACTGAGACGCAAAATCGTTTATTGTTTAATAAATGCCAGTTAGCAAACTAGTATGTGACCTATAATAACATAATAATTTAATTCTATTATTAAAGACACAATCGCTGGGGTTCACGGGGCTTATTATGGGTTAGTTTTGTGCTCTTCTGAATGAGGTAACAACAACAATGCCGGATTTCGATTATTATTTGAAATAAATACCACTCATTCATGAACAAGCTCTATCTATGATGAAGAACGAATAGAACAGTTTAAAATAAATTCATAGTGTGTAAAGTGAGTAGCGTCTACACAATCGTTTTAATTTTTTACACATCAGTGCGTTTTGGAACTTGTCGGATTTAATAGGAATGGATATGAGCGCATTTGGATATGAACACAAGTCATCGTGGCCTAACGGATAAGACGTCCGATGCATTCGTGTTGAGCGATCCACCGGTGTTCGAATCTCAGGCGGGTACCAATTTTTCTAATGAAATACGTACTCAGTAAATGTTCACGATTGACTTCCACGGTGAAGGAATAACATTGTGTAATAAAAATGAAACCCGTAAAATTATAATTTGCGTAATTACTGGTTATAGGAGCCCTGTGAGTCCGCGCGGGTGGGTACCACCACTCTGCCTATTTCTGCCGTGAAGCAGTAATGCGTTTCGGTTTGAAGGGTGGGGCAGCCGTTGTAAACTATACTTGAGACCTTAGAACTTATATCTCAAGGTAGGTGGCGGCATTTACGTTGTGGATGTCTATGGGCTCCAGTAACCACTTAACATCAGGTGGGCTGTGAGCTCGTCCACCCATTTTAGCAACAAAAAAAATTCTTGAAATCAGATTCTGAATCATTTGTCCCTAAGCGTTAACCGATCAGTTTCCCGTTCGCGTGTACCTGCATTTCCGACGCGGCTGAATAATTCATTCTCATCGCCTTGTGCATGTTGTAAGGCAGTATTTGAAATGCAGTTGTGCATAAATGTACTTGCACGTTTGACTTTCGATAGATCTTCGTTTTAGAATTTCACATCGCCTTGATATTTTATCATTTTTTATTTATATTTTCTTCTGTCGATAAAATCCTTTTTGATCGGTGGTTTTAAACGATACCGGATAAAAATAAACAAACCTTCATTATCAAAGCTAGGATGGTTGTTATCCTAATGCAATGCGACCTTTTTTTTTATTCTCACCTAATCGTTTGGTAGCTAACGGGGCTGTTCCAACTACGCAAAGACGACTAGGTACGCTTATGGGCTCAACCTGAGAGAATTTGCAAACACTAGCCCTAGCAAGAGCAGTGCTTTGCAGAATTTACCGGATCGAAATCGCGATCCACCAAGAGGCTTACTGGTGGTAGGACCTCTTGTGAGGTCGCGCGGGTAGGTACCACCACCCTGCCTATTTCTGCCGTGAAGCAGTAATGCGTTTCGGTTTGAAGACTGGGGCATCCGTTGTAGCTATACTGAGATCTTAGAGTTCTTATCTCAAGGCATTATAACTTTGTATAGAATAATTTGTATACAGAGTATGATGTCTTATTGAAATTTTTAGGATATTTATATTTTATTAGGATATTTAGTTTTCCACCAACCAACCCGATAAGGTTGCAATGCGAATGAAGCTGTACAGAGAATTAAGATTTTCTATTGTTGTGGATAGAATTGCTTATTTACCATAGACGTGTGTAGCTCGTATGCCGTCAAAGAGAAAAAAATGTTGTTTGTTATTTTCACTACAATTTCTCCGAACACCGCAAGTTTCTTCAATGAACTTCA